ACTGTAATTTCTCACGCGTTTGCCTACTCGTCAAGATGGCGTCGAAAACCGTGACAAGGTCTATTGGTTTCGGCTCCATTAAATCCCATACCAGCTGTAGAACATTTTAGAAGGAGCCACCCACAATGTGAGCAGAGTTACTGACACTATCTATTAGCACGAAAAAGCGTTGAAAATAAAGCCGTTAACAGCTATAACTAACTGTACGAGTCAACTAAATACAGAGACAGCACGCGCACTTCCTAATGGAGGCTAGCGCTCGCACATTTGCATCAAACTAAAGAAAAACATGCAGAAATAAAATAATAATAATGATGATAATAATAATTAATAACATACAACAAAGGATACTACGGTATTTTTCTTTATATACCAATAATCGCACCATGACGATTGAAGAATTTGGTAAGTGATTTTAGTAGCAAGGCATATTTGAAGCCTTGTCGCTGGAGGCGTGACGAGAGCTGATAGAGCTTCTGTATGAAGTCCACCTTTGATGTACAAATCCTGGTCCACCTCACCAGTTGAGATTAGAAATCACCTTGGCTTTACAACATCTGCAATTACTCAAGTAGATTAAGGCCTGGTACTAAGTCACTTGTGATTTTCATGCAAATTTTCCAAAAACCATTGTTAAAGACATCCTCCAGGAATAACAGATGGTAAGGTAAACTAACTTAAAAAAAATTGAAAAAAGAAATCCAAATCGCCAGGTCACATGATCGACCACGCCCTCTTCTGTTCGTAAATTACAACCGGCGATGCCCAACACTTCCTAAACCTGTAGCTCAAGTTTCTCTGTATCAAATCTTTGACCCTATAAAGTATCTACGGAATCAGCCTGGAATGGTTAGCGTCTCTACAGTTTGTAGGTGCAACAGGTGTTCATTAACTAGTGCCAGTCCTCCTCTAACTAAAATTTTCGTTGGAGAAAGACGTTAAATGACATCTCTTTCCACCCGTTTTTACAAAAAGACCATTAGTAGCCACTGTTTGGACCTACAAAAGACAAACGGTTTGCTTTCTACATAGTGCGCATTTCGACCCAAAGGATTTCTCGATAAAACAGGGCGTGGCTGGTCACGTGATGCAGTTATACAGACTCGTACCCAGTCGCTATTTAAGTAATTTTGGGGGCGAGAGAAGATTGGGGATTAGGTTGAGGAGCGCAATCTTCTCTCGCCCCCAAAAACACTTAAATAGCGACTGGGTACGAGTCTGGCAGTTATAAACGATTTTTTAAGATGAAATTTTACGATTTCTTAGTTATAATTAGCCTTAATTTATTAGACCTGGGTATCTTAAAAAAGCTTTACATTAGACCACTCCCCTTTAAAATTCTGAGGAATTTGTAAAGAACCAGGCCTTAATCTACTCGAGTAAATTATGCTTCAAGCGACGTCAAGTTTAATAGCCTAACATTTATTTCCTTCCAAGAAAATTATCAAACTGTCGAAATATATTTCTACTCATATCATGTTATTCCACTCAATAAAACAATATCTAATTATTTTTATTAGTTTCTTTCAATATTATTCCCTAACGGTATTGTTTCTACGTAAGTTACGCATCTTTACTAAATAAAATACTTTTCAATAACTATAATTACTCTTAAGCAGCAAGCACGTCACTTAATTCATGTATTTTTTTGCCGGAACGAAAAAGGTCTGTTGAACTTTGTAAGCAAGAGAATAAAGCTTGTTTACAGGATTAACTTAGGGCCTGTTTACATGGAGGTGGGGGACACAAGGTAGGTGAGGTAAAATACGGCGGGTCACCCCAGTTATCATGTAAACGTGATCAAATTAAAATTAGAGATTATATGGACAAACGGGCTACCCCACCTAAGCGGGTTACCTCACCTACCTGATGTCCCCCACCTCCATGTAAACAGGCCCTTACTCGGTACAGCTTTCGAAAAAATAAGCTGCCTTTCAAACTTCTAAAACCAAAATTTCAAGGCCGCATACTTTCGAATTAAAGTCCATATCTAAATATTAATTATTGTTTCATTGGAAGAACTTAGAATATTATATGATCTTTTATACCCTACCTGAAGAAGGTGAAACAGAACTCATAAATTATGAAATGCGTGCGTTGTACCGTTCGCGATAGCCGAATTAGGTCACCGCCGCCTGGTTAGCTAAGTTGGGAGAGCGCCGGTCTGCTGAGCGGGAGGTCGCGGGTTCAAACCCCGGCAGGACCAACACTTAGGGTCTTTAAATAACTGAGAAGAAAGTGCTGCCTCTGTAATGACATCTGCAAATGGTAAGACTTTCTAGTCTTCTCGGATAAGGACGAAAAACCGTAGGTCCCGTCTCACAGCACTTTCACTGATCTGTCCTTGTGGGACGTAAAAGAACCCACACTACTGTTCGAAAAGAGTAGGGGACGTAGACCCCGGTGGTGTGGCCAACCTTTACGGGTTGTGGGATTGGGTAGGGATGGCACCTTGCATGGGACCTATGAGTCCCGTTCGTGCCTATTCCCTCTGGGCAGGCCTGTGTCCAGAAAAGCTTGTAAAAAAAAAAAGAAAAGAAATGTCTTGACGCAGCACCCACACTAAAATATGAACCCTTAAACAGCTCCATCACCGTACACAACGTTTGAATGATGATGATATTTAAATGTAACGCTTCTAAACAGCTGTAGCCTAATTAAAAGACGAACAAATTGTGAAGAATCATTATGGCGTTCTCAAAATGCCCTTGTTTGACCTTTAGCAATGTCACGTTTATTTAGATGCCAAAATCTCATTGGTTCCTAAGCATCAACCGATAGTACCTTCAACCTTATTGGCCCCTGCAACAAACATACGAACAGACAAAGCCACAAAGATACAAACTTTTTTTTCAAAATAGCTCAACAAAAGACTTAAGAGTGAATTCATTAGTTACGATTAATGATCTTAAGTCTTTCCGCCTACACTATGATTTACTTAACTTGTTGTAATCACCCTATGGTCCGAAGTTACCGTAAAATTCCGAAAATAAGCCCCGGGGCTTATATTTTTCAAAGGCCCCTTTTGAGGGGCTTATTTTTTTAGGGGCTTATATTCGGAGGGAAATTTGCGTTTCAAAATCGATTCGGCTAGCCTTATAGTTGGAAGTAAATTTACCGTTTTTGCTTTGTCCCCCCCCCCCCCCCCCCC